AAAAAAAAAAAAAAAAAAAAAAAAGAGGTAAATGTAACCGTCCAAGCCCACCACTCGCAGAGATATTGTCCGCTTTGACTCATTACGTATTGCCGTCAGCTTGGTTTTAAAACATGTCTAATGGGGAGAGGTTTCCACATCCTTATAAGAAATGTTTCGTTTCCTTCTCCAACCGACGTGGGATCTCACAATCCACGCACTTTAGGGGCCAGCGTCTTCGCTGGCACGCCGTTCAGGGTCTGGCTCTGATACCATTTGCAACAACCCAAGCCCACAGCTAGCATATATTGTCCACTTTGACCCATTACGTATCGTTGTCACCCTCACGGTTTTAAAACGCGTCTGCTAGGGAGAGGTTTCCACACCCTTATAAGCAATGCTCCGTTCCCCTCTCTAACCGATGTGGGATCTCACAATCAAATCCTCTTGGGGGCCCAACGTCCTTCCTGGCACACTACTCAGTGTCTGACCCTAATACCATTTGTAACAACCAAAGCCCACCGCTAGCATGTATTGTTCGTTTTAGCCCGTTACGTATCATCGTCAGCCTCAGTTTTAAAACGCGTCTACTAGGGAGAGGTTTCGACACCCTTATAAAGAATGCTCCGTTCACCTCTCCAACTGATGTGGGATCTCACAATCCACCCCCTTGGGGGCCAGCATCCTCGTAAACACGCCGCTCAGTGTCTGGCTCTAAACCATTTGTAACAGCCCAAGCCCACCGCCAGCAGATATTTTCATTACATATGGCTGTCAGTCTCACAACTTTAAAACGCGTTTGCTAGGGAGAGGTTTCCACACCCTGATAAGAGAATGCTTCGTTCCTCTCTCCAACCAATATGGGATCACACAGTAAATCTAAACCGAGAGAGAGAGAGACGAAGCGGGAGAAAGAGTGAGAAAAGCTTACAGTAGGCTTCATGTCAGGAACATGCTTCCCTTTCTTCTGCAGAAACAAGAAAAAACAAGAAATGATTAAGCAAAACACAGTCTTAAATACAATTATCATAACTTAATCAAAGAACAAACCTTGTTATTATAAAGCGTAGAGACAGTCCACCAATTAAATCCCTGACCATCCACAGTCCCAGAGCCACCAATAGTAAAATTATGCAGCCATTTGAAATTCAGCCATTGAAACAAGCTAGATTTGGACCAAGAACTCACTTTTGGCGGCGCCAATACATCTCCATCAATCTGCGTTACAATTCCACTTCCCATTAATTATCATAACACTACCTCATCATAATAAGCAAACAAAACAAGACAAACCTGAAGAACAAGCTGAGGCATACAAGGACCATTCAGAGTTATGGGTTTGATAAGAAACTTATAATCCGGAGGTATTTGTAATGTAGCTCCAGGAATCTTGCATGCAGCTGTCCATGCTGCTATAAGTGCCTACAGAGTCACTATTTTTAGCTCTGTCTCCACATATATGTTTTTTAAGGATGTTTTGGACAAGTTTTACCTTGGAATCATCAAAAACACCATTTCCCTTTGCTCCAAAAGACAAGATATTAAAAATGGTGGACTGGGTTTGATTATAATCAGGAAGTGGAGCTGGTGCAGGGCTTGAACCACTGCCTTTACCACCACCCCTTTGCTTCTGATGCTTGCTCTTCTTGTTGTGATGATGCTTCCTTGCCTCTAATGGAACCACAGAAGAAGACACCAGCAAAGAGACCAGAAAAAGAGTTAAAATTTTGCTTCCTTTGTTCATCTCAAAAAGCTCTCTTTATTTCACTTCAACGCTAGAAACATTAAGCCAAGTTGTAATGGAAACAGGGTAGTGTTAAGTCTTTAGAATATATAGAGAATTCAAGGCCGGACATATTCAAGAAAAGCTGTCCACCGCTAGCACATATTGTCTTGTTTAGATTTTCTATTTCAGACTTTCTCTCAAGGTTTTTAAAATACGTATACTAGGAAGAGGTTTCCACACCCTTATAAAGAATATTTCGTTCTTCTCCTTAACCGATGTGGGATCTCACAATCCACCCTCCAATAAGACCCAATGTCCTTGCTTCGTTCTCCTCCCCAATCGACGTGAATCTCACCTATGGAATGACAGTCAAATCAGCAGGGAGCTAAAAAAGAATAAACATAAAGTAAACTCCATGTTAAGCTGGGGAATTAATGGCATTAAAATTAGTGAAAGTTGTAATTATTTTGAATCAGCCAAATTATGAAAGCTAGCTACGGCACAGTGAAAGGATAGTAATGGTGCTAGTTGGATTTAAATAAAATTGATCCCTTTGAGTTAGGAAAAGGTTCTCAGGAGATGCTGTTTTGCTGACATGGACCGTCCATCTTTTGAATTAGAGTTTTGGATATATGTATATAACACTAAACTTTTCCAAGAAGACACCTAACTTAGCGTAGGTTTGTTACCAATCGTATCAGAGAGCTAGACACTGAGCGATGTGTCTGTGAAGAGGCTGAGCTCCGAAGGAGGTGGACATGAGGCGGTGTGCCAACAAGGACACTAACTCTAATGGGTGAATTGAAGGGTCTCACATGAATTGGAGAAAGGAACGAGTGCCAGTGAGGACGTTGGAGCTCGAAGGGGGTGGATTATGAAATCTCACATCGATTTAGAACTTTGAGGGAAAGCTCGGAAGGGAAAGCCCAAAGAGAACAATATCTGCTACCCGGTGTCCACCCCCTTTAGAGTCCAACGTCCTCACTGACATACCGTCCGGTATTCACCGCCTTCGGGGCCCAACCTACTCACTGGCATACCCCCAGTGTCTACCCCCTTCAAGGCCCAACGTTCTCACTAGCACACTGCCCGATGTCCACTCCTTTCGAGGCCCAGTGTCCTATTGTGAGATCCCACATAGGTTGGATATGAGAACGAAACATTCAGGTATGGAAACCTCTCAATATCCACTAACTATGTGGTTGAACGGATACCTTATACATAACATAAATCATCAAAACCACCGTGGAGAAAGGGTTACTGGAACAGTGGGCTATCAAAAGCGCCATTAAACAGATAAAAAAAAACAAAGTGTAGAAAGCAAAAGGAATAAAATAGAATCCACTTGGAACTGTTATGGTGGGTGAAGTGGTTTGCTTGTTGTTTAGCGAGTAAAATGAATAGAGAATGAAATCATGGGGGCAGTTTATACAGTTGAATACCTGGAAAGCTCTATAAAGAAGGGTTAACACCACCAAGTGGGTTGCACGTTGCTGGAACTAGAAATTCTAGAAAGATGCGGCTCGGCATTACAGTAGTGACCTCCAATTTGGCTCCATTCGAATCTACCTACCTGGTTACCCACGTCGCACGCGGTGGGCCACTCGATGGGCCGGTCGGTGCCCACTACGCCTATTTTTCTTCTTTCATGCTCGGAGTTGAAAATCAATTCGGCCTACTTTTTATATTATATAAATAACTTATGACCGGACCTACATATGAGTATTTTTCAGGTAAAAATCTTTAGTGATATTTAAAATTATTTTTAAATATATCTTTAATTATTTTAACTATTTTAAAATTATTCTCCAATATAATATAAAAAAAAAACTAAATTAATAAAAATACACTTTAATTCAACTTTATCTCAAAAATATTTTTAAATTTTTCTCTTCAATTTTTTTTTAAAAAAATCAAAATCAAAATTACCAAACGGTTAATATTTTATTTTTTAAAGTACGGTTAATTTTTTTAAATAATTTAAAATTTGTTTTAAAAATGCTACTAATATTTTAAACTTTATTCTTTAAAAAGCAATTTAAACTTTTAAAAAAGATTAAAAAAAAATTATTGTGTTTAAAAAATACTCATTAACTTTTAAAAATAACATTAAAAAATTTGAAGATAATCTATAAGATGTCGATAAACTATTTACGTTACAAGTAAATGATATATTACTTTTAAAAAAATTTGTCCAAATACTCATGAACTAATAATTATTAGGACATTATTCTTTTTAATTATTATTATTATTATTATAATTTCATTTTTATTGTTTTTTTTTTTTTTTTTTTTGTCTAGTTAGTTTCAAAATAAAAATGGCTTAACCATTATTCAAGCTAAACTATTTAAAATTAAATTATTTTAATTACCCAAAGGTTATGGAGAGTTGCCACGTGGAGTAAGAAGAAGAAGGATGGGATGGGAGATGTTGGATTTGGGCCCATTATAGTGACGATCATATAAGAGACGTTGGGCCTTTTGATTTCTGGATTTTTGGGCCCATTTTAATGACAATCATCTAAAAGATATTGGGCCTCTTGATTTATGGATATTTGAGCCCATCTTAATCACAATCATCTAAGAGATGTTGGGCCTCTTGATATTAGGGCCCAAAAGGTGTATTCGTGGGGATGTTGGGCCTCTTGTTATATGTGATGTCAGTAATTTTTTTTAACTCACGGTAAAAGGTGTTAAATTTTAAGAGTATTAACCAAACATTTAAAAGTTTTAAACGTTTTTTGAAACTCAAAGTTTAAAGATTCTTTTGAAAAAAAAATATTAACAAAACTTAGAAGAAATAAAGAATTCTACGAGGTCCCAAATGAGGTCAGAATATACCTTTATTAACATGATTCCCGTAATACGAGTCATTTTAACATATTTTGTAGTCTCTTATGTTATTCTTAAGAAAATTTTCAAGAGATCACTCAACATCGAATTGCTCCAAGCTAAAACACGCTTAATTTTGGAGTACCTTTCAATTGTTTTAAATATTTCTTAATTTTCATATCCTAAAAACGACTCGCATTTAGATGTCGTCACAGTTCATTCGTGTAGTGTTCTTTTATTTAAGTCTCACAAGTCGATTTTAGGCTAGGACCGAAGCCTAAACTCACTTGATTAGCCTCGCGAGGGGCACGAGCTCTACATGTCCCTGTTTTATGTGATCTTAATGTAATATGATCTCGTCCCATTTTAACCTAATTTGAAAAGAAGTTAACGAAACCCTAAAAATGTCATATAAATATCCTTATTGAACTAGAAAAAAATTAGGTCTTTTCCGTACTCACTCTTACTACATTCAAATTCTCTCACATAACTTAAATATCAAAGAATGAGTGCTAAGTGTCATGGTCATACTTGTTCAGAGCTTATTGTCTATAACATATGTCCATGTCATGTCAAACCCTTTTAAATGTATTACTTTATTATTATATTTTATGTGTATATGACTATTCCGGCAAAATCATGTCTATCCTCAAAATATATGAGAGGGGGACCAAGTAATCTCTTGTCTGCATGTTTTCAACGCAAAACATGGTTCATAGTTGGACTGTATGTTCGCAATATACAATTTTTGCACAACTAACTTGTTTGCTGGATTAGAACAAGTGTCACGCAATCATCCTCTTGTTGTCGAAATGAGTGCAATTGTAATACTAAAAACCATATTAGTCTAACAGATTTTCACCCATTTTACAAGCCACGTTCTTCCCGTTCAAATAAATGTTTTTGTCCATATCATGTGAAAGTCATGTGCATTACTTTATTCTAATTTTGACAACCATAGCTCAAATATCTTTTTAAAACCCGAAAAAAATCCGAAAGTCAAAGTTACTTTAATTTTAAGTAAAGATTATTGGCCCTTTTTTCGCTTTCATTTATATAGTTTAACCTCAAATTGTTCTATATTTTGCGTATGAATTGGTTATACATATAATGTCAGTCGATAAAGACCATATAGTTATATTATTGATACGAGTAGGTAAAGATCATACTATTTCGACTTCGTAAAATAATTAATTAAACATAAAATAACACAAAAGTAAATAAAAATATACCTAACATATAAACTTTGTCAACAAAATTCATCCCCAAATAAAAAAATTAGGTACTAATCATGACAAAAAAAAAATAAATAAATTATATAATAGAACAAGGAAGGAAATTAAAAAGAAATGGTGGGACGAAAATGTCATTAATAAAAAGAATTTTGAAAAAATAAGAAAAATTAAATAAATTAAGACCGAAATGACCGAAATGACAAAAATTCAAAAATGGGGCCGCCGTGAGATTGAGGGAACAATCATTTGAGAACGTAAGAAAGATTAGGCATGATAATTTCGAATAGAATGTCGAAGAATTGTAGTGTATAAAGCAGCAATAAATTTCTTAAAATCGAAAGCCTAATTCATAAACGCCAGAACCGAGAAGCATGAAACACGTGCTAAAAAAACTGAGTAACTGTCCATATTTTAAGAAACTTTTCAAAACGCCAGAACCGAGAAGTATGAAACACGTGCTAAAAAAACCGAGTAACTGTCTATATTTTAAGAAATTTTTCTGGGGAATGATTAAGCATGATGATTTACAATAGAATGTCGAAATAACAGAGTGTATAAAGCAGTTAAAAAGTGCTTAAAATCGTAACCCTAGACGCATATTTGGTGGTGTCCGGTCCTCCATTAATTCCTTTTTTTTTTCTTTTTTCAAACTCTCCATTAAATTATAATTTCTTCGCAAATTTAATAGGTTTTTTATTTATTCAAAAATTCAAAAATTTAATTGATTTATTAGAAATTAAATTAAATTTTAAATTTTAAATTATTTTTATTTAGGTTCATGATTTTTAAAAGACATTGACTATTTAATAAGCAATATTTCAATAATAATAATAATTAAATTTTTTTTTTATTAAATATTTTTAAAAATTAATGTGAGCAAGGAAATAACGTTTAATTTTTATGTCTTTAATAAATGGTTGTAATCAATTTTGTGCTCGTTCCTTTGAGTTTTTTTTTAAAATTATGTACGAGAATTTGCACCAATTAATGTCTAAAC